GATATGACCTTTAAGGTCAAATATCCGTGATTTGACCTTTAAGGTCAAATATTTTTAAGAAGATATAATATAGGGAAGTCGAGATTCTGACCCTAGCTATCGAATGCGACCATCAGAAATGAGATCGGACGATCGGTGTAGAAAAAACAGGGGGACTCAAAATTTCAATCCGTGATTTGACCTTTAAGGTCAAATATTTTTAATAAGGTATATACTAGGGAACTCGAGATTCTGACACTAGCTATTGAATGCGAACATCAGAAATTGGTTCGGACGATGTTTGTAGAAAAAATAGGGGACTCAAAATTTCAATCCGTGATTTGACCTTAAAGGTCAAATATTTTTAATAAGGTATATATTAGGGAATTCGAGATTCTGACCCTAGCTATCGAATGCGACCTTCAGAAATCGGATCGGACGATCGGTGTAGAAAAAATCGGGGGACCAAAATTTCAATCCGTGATGTGACCTTTAAGGTCAAATATCCGTGATTTGACCTTTAAGGTCAAATATTTTTAATGAGATATATATTAGGGAACTCGAGATTCTGACCCTAGCTATCGAATGCGACCATCAGAAATGAGATCGGACGATCGGTGTAGAAAAAATAGGGGGACTCAAAATTTCAATCCGTGATTTGACCTTTAAGGTCAAATATTTTTAATAAGGTATATAATAGGGAACTCGAGATTCTGACCCTAGCGATCGAATGCGACCATCAGAATTCGGATCGGACGATCGGTGTAGAAAAAATCGCGGGACTCAAAATTTCAATCCGTGATGTGACCTTTAAGGTCAAATATTTTTAATAAGGTATATATTAGGGAACTCGGGATTCTGACCTTAGCTATCGAACGCGACCATCAGAAATTGGATCGGACGATCGGTGTAGAAAAAATAGGGGGACTCAAAATTTCAATCCGTGATTTGACCTTCAAGGTCAAATATTTTTTAATAAGGTATATATTAGGGAATTCGAGATTCTGACCCTAGCTATCGAATGCGACCTTCAGAAATCGGATCGGACGATCGGTGTAGAAAAAAACGCGGGACTCAAAATTTCAATCCGTGATGTGACTTTTAAGGTCAAATATCCGTGATTTGACCTTTAAGGTCAAATATTTTTAATAAGGTATATATTAGGGAACTCGAGATTCTGACCCTAGCTATCGAAGGCAACCATCAGAAATTGGATCAGACGATCGGTGTAGAAAAAATAGGGGGACTCAAAATTTCAATCCGTGATTTGACCTTTAAGGTCAAATATTTTTAATAAGGTATATTTTAGCGAACTCGAGATTCTGACCCTAACTATCGAATGCGACCATCAGAAATAGGATCGGACGATCGGTGTAGAAAAAATTGGGGGACTCAAAATTTCAATACGTGATTTGACCTTTAAGGTCAAATATTTTTAATAAGGTATATATAAAGGAATTCGAGATTCTGACCCTAGCTATCGAATTCGACCTTCAGAAATCGGATCGGACGATCGGTGTAGGAAAAATAGGGGGTTTCAAAATTTCAATCCGTGATTTGACCTTTAAGGTCAAATATTTTTAATAAAGTATATATTAAGGAACTCGAGATTCTGACCCTACCGATCGAATGCGACCATCAGAATTCGGATCAGACGATCGGTGTAGGAAAATAGGGGGACTCAAAATTTCAAACCGTGATTTGACCTTTAAGGTCAAATATTTTTAATCAGGTATATATTAGGGAACTCGAGATTCTGACCCTAGCTATCGAATGCGACCATCAGAAATTCGATCGGACGATCGGTGTAGAAAAAATAGGGGGACTCAAAGTTTCAATCCGTGATTTGACCTTCAAGGTCAAATATTTTTTAATAAGTTTTTTTATAAGGAAATTCGAGATTCTGACCCTAGCTATCGAATGCGACCTTCAGAAATCGGATCGGACGATCGGTGTAGAAAAAATCGCGGGACTCAAAATTTCAATCCGTGATGTGACTTTTAAGGTCAAATATCCGTAATTTGACCTTTAAGGTCAAATATTTTTAATAAGGTATATATTAGGGAACTCGAGATTCTGACACTAGCTATCGAATGGGACCATCAGAAATCGGATCAGACGATCGGTGTAGAAAAAATACGGGGACTCAAAATTTCAATCCGTGATTTGACCTTTAAGGTCAAATATTTTTAATAAGGTATATATTAGGGAACTCGAGACTCTGACCCTAGCTATCGAATGCGACCATCAGAATTCGGATTGGCCGATCGGTGTAGAAAAAATAGGGGGACTCAAAATTTCAATCCGTGATTTGACCTTTAAGGTCAAATATTTTTAATAAGGTATATATTAGGGAACTCGAGATTCTGACCCTAGCTATCGAATGCGACCATCAGAAATTGGTTCGGACGATCGTTGTAGAAAAAATAGGGGGACTCAAAATTTCAATCCGTGATTTGACCTTAAAGGTTAAATATTTTTAATAAGGTATATATTAGGGCATTCGAGATTCTGACCCTAGCTATCGAATGCGACCTTCAGAAATCGGATCGGACGATCGGTGTAGAAAAAATCGGGGGACTCAAAATTTCAATCCGTGATGTGACCTTTAAGGTCAAATATCCGTGATTTGACCTTAAAGGTCAAATATTTTTAATAAGATATATATTAGGGAACTCGAGATTCTGACCCTAGCTATCGAATGCGACCATCAGAAATGAGATCGGACGATCGGTGTAGAAAAAATAGGGGGACTCAAAATTTCAATCCGTGATTTGACCTTAAAGGTTAAATATTTTTAATAAGGTATATATAAGGGCATTCGAGATTCTGACCCTAGCTATCGAATGCGACCTTCAGAAATCGGATCGGACGATCGGTGTAGAAAAAATCGGGGGACTCAAAATTTCAATCCGTGATGTGACCTTTAAGGTCAAATATCCGTGATTTGACCTTAAAGGTCAAATATTTTTAATAAGATATATATTATGGAACTCGAGATTCTGACCCTAGCTATCGAATGCGACCATCAGAAATGAGATCGGACGATCGGTGTAGAAAAAATAGGGGGACTCAAAATTTCAATCCGTGATTTGACCTTTAAGGTCAAATATTTTTAATAAGTTATATATTAGGGAACTCGAGATTCTGACCCTAGCTATCGAATGCGACCATCAGAAATTGGATCAGACGATCGGTGTAGAAAAAATAGGGGGACTCAAAATTTCAATCCGTGATTTGACCTTTAAGGTCAAATATTTTTAATAAGGTATATATTAGGGAACTCGAGATTCTGACCCTAGCTAACGAATGCGACCATCAGAAATCGGATCGGACGATCGGTGTAGAAAAAATTGGGGGACTCAAAATTTCAATCCGTGATTTGACCTTTAAGGTCAAATATTTTTAATAAGGTATATATTAGGGAATTCGAGATTCTGACCCTAGCTATCGAATGCGACCTTCAGAAATCGGATCGGACGATCGGTGTAGGAAAAATGGGGGACTCAATTTCAATCCGTGATTTGACCTTGGAGATGACCTTGAAATTTGAAATGAATACGATATTCGGAATCAGCGTCCCAAACTGCATCGGATAGGTTGGGTTTAGTTTAAATTCGGACTCGACGCTGAATCCGTCGCGGAATACGACGCTAACTTCACGCACGTCAGAAACCCCGGGAGAACAGCCTCGCCTCTGGAAATTTATGTAATGAGCAACATAGGAACAAAGATATATAGGAAAAATGCTAAATAGGTAGGTACATGGGACATATAGGTGTAAAGGGAAGCTCACAGGTAAACGATAATTCAGTCAGCATACCTATTTTTGATCGATAAAGATCAGCGTGATCTACGGAAGGTTATGGGAACGGCGCGAGATGACCGCCAGTAAGAAATATCCGCCGGTCATTGCCCATGACGTGTCCAATGTCCATGGATATAGGCACTTATATAGCCTCTCTGCGTCGTTGAAGTACTTGCTCCGACGCGACCAGCCGACTAGAGCTGGTAGTTTCACGGGAGTGGGGCTGGCAGCTCAATTTTCGGGCCACCCGTCCGGTGACGTCATCCATGCACCAGCAGCTATAGCTCCGTGTTTGAGGGCATTGATATGCGGGATGTTTATGATATAAGGCAGGTCTTCGAATTAGCTCCGAAAATGCCGTACATTTTAAACGACAAAGCTAGCCCTCGCCCAACGGCTCTTAGCCGGGGGCCGCTAAGTTGCCATTGGTGCCCTAGCTGTAGATCTGTATCAGTTCCCGGCTCAAATCAGTGGCGGCTCAACCATGACAGACCCGGTGAGGTCAATCCGACGTCAGTTATTTCGTAGAGTGCATCACATGCACCAACAGAGAAATGCATTAGGACCGGCCCTTATAAATTAACACCAAAAAAGCGACATAAAGCTCCTCGCAAAGGCAAGAGCAACGGCACCCTTGGCAAAGAAGCGTGGACAAAACAGTTTTCTGGCCGGTTTTTTCCGCCGAGTCTCCGCCTCTGGGTTCTTTGTGTTCATTCACAATGGCCACTCCGTCTAACGAATCAAATTGGTATCATTTGTTTTGGGCGTCAGCGGCGCCGCGGCGCCCCTCGCTCGGCGCCCGCCCCTCCGATGGGACGCGGGAGGGCGGCCAGCGGGACCCTCCGGCCGGCGGGGACAGGAGGGAGGCAGACACGACGGAACACAAGACGGGAGGGAACTCCGCGGAATGCGGCGCCTCGATTGGTATTCAAATAATCCTCTTTATCCAGTGTCAGTTGCGTCAAAGCGCAGCTTCATTTTCAAATGGTCGATCAGGTTTCATTAACGAGACTTACACCTCGGATTACAATGCATTATCGGCTTAAATAATTCACACACCTGCTTCCTCAATAAGTTCAATTTACATGCGAGCTGCCAGCATATTTCGGGGTTTCAGTAATGTATGTACCCGTCGACACTGTTACCTGAATTTATTCCGCACCGTTCCCATGGTCTAATGTGACAAATTTGTCGGACGTGTGCTGTGTTTCAGCGGCGGCAGAGGTGGCGCCGACAGCGGATGTCGCCGCCGACCTCGAGGCACCGCCCCCGGTCTCCGAGGGAGAGCTGCCCTTTCTGGACTACGAGGACCCTCCGGAGGATCCAGCAGGGGACGAACTGACCGCCGAGGTCACTGACCCCGCCGGAGAAGAGCCAGGACCGGAGATTGTTGAAGGTGAACAGCCTGCTGTGGTCGAGGACGATGGTCTTGAGGACGATGACATCCTGAAAGATCAGCCGGATGACGCTGCTAGTGAGACTCAAGAGAAGTCTGAAGATGCAGCTGGGCTAGCAGAAGAAAAAGAGACCGTGGAGTTGTCAGAAGTGGAGGACCGGCTATCACACGAAGAGAAGGAAGAAGCAACTGCTGAAACTCATCCTGAACACTCTAAGGAAGGTAGTGCGGATGTGTCTGATGCTGAATTTGATAGTCACCATGAAGTGCTGGAGCAGCCCCTAGAAGAGGGTGCTCAAGGAGAGGAAGAGGATCATGAAGGAAGCACTGACGGTCGGAAGAAGGAATCTGAGCCTGACAACTTCGAGACTGGCGACCATCATGCACCGGAAGAACGGCTTCAAATAGACGTCAGCGAAGAAAACCAGCAAACGTCTCATGATCAGCACGAGGACTCTGAGACTGATCACGATCCCGACACAGACGCTGATGACGACACAGCCGATTCTGGCGAGCAGCTGCCGTCTGAGCTCTGGTCGCCATCCATCCATGTTGCTGCTGTGGAGGTCGGCAGCGCTGAGCCGGTCAGAGACGAGTCTGCAGCACCTGCCAGTCTCCAGGCGCCGTCATCAGGAACGTTCGACTCCAGCGCCCTTGCCAGCGCACCAGTGGAATTCAGCGTGAAGGAGGGGGGCTCTCTGATCCTGCCCTGTGGCTCCGCCATGATGACAAGTGAGTGGCGATACAGAGTTAACCTCTCGGGCAAACCGTGCCTCCCCATGCCAGCCTCTTTAGGCGCGCGGTGGCCTGTATGTACATTGGTGATGTTTAATGTATTTACAGAGTGTAGATACATGTACCGCGTCCGCCGCCAATGCAGTGACTGTCCTGGCCATTGGACTGTCAGCGGACGCGTGTCGCGGTGTCATTTTGCCGACCACGCCCCGTCTGTGACACGCCATCAGGCGTCCCTCGGTCGGGAGCACGACCCTGTTGCCACTCGTATTACTGTTACGTGAGCGTTATCATAGACAGAACCACCTACACAACAGTGCATAAACATATGGTAATGTAAGAACGTAGAATGTCTTGTAAATGACTAGCGACGGTCATTGTAGCACTAGAAGCCTTTCTATGAGCTGAGCACCTAGCAGATGTGCCGCACTGACCCGTCTGCCCTGGTCCTCGGTCAGAGAGCTCGGTACGCTGGTACCGGTCCGGCCGGCCGCTGTTCCAGGGGCAGAGCTCCCTATCTGCAGACGGTCGCCTCCATCTGCTGGCCGACGGCAGTCTGCGGCTGACCTCAGCCTCCACTCAGGACGACGGCATGTTCACGTGCCGGGCGTATGGCGACGAGGGCGCCTTCACGGAGACCAGCCACCGGGTGCACGTGAGGAGCAGAGAGGAGGCGCTGAAGGAGGAGGCCGGCAGGACCCTGGGAAGTGGTGAGTGCCGCTGTTGTGACAATGACTAAACCGGGAGCAAATCTGTGGTTGATAGCATGGCACTTGGTTTCATTTCCTGTATATCTAGTTAAACGTCTCCCATTCGCTCGTTCGTACCACTGGTAAATTTGTTTTATTCGGTCGATATGTGAGTGAAGAGACGCATTGTTCAATGGCCTCATAAACACCTTCCGATGCTACATGCATTACTAGTGAAATTATATCACTGAAACGTACACACCTTCCACTCTGTTTTATCGGCAAGGCTCAGCAGAGGGGATCCCTGGTGTCCTGATCGGGTGATTCAAAAGCAAGCCCCGATAAAACGTCCCGGGAATTCTTCGGGCTCCATTGTGGTTTGAAATTGGTAATATTATATTTCGATAAGGGAACAAGTGTGACAGGCACAAAACTTCCGATGTAACACCCATCTGTTCTATTATAATCATAACTATAATTATCACAATTACAATTAACATAACTTTGAGGCGGGTACTTTTTCGCAAGAAAGGGGTATACGATGTGAGGCGGCGTTTGTGTTATCACGGTCATCTCCTATAGCCCGTGACGTGGATAATTTAATGGTTGGTGTAATTGTCAATTCTCTTTTGTTACAACGGGTTATCGCATCTGTTTAATAACACCAATTCAATTAAATGTATCGGCCTTTTGTAATAAGGAATTATAACAAGCGTTTTGCAACGTGACGTAATATGGCTGTAAAAAAAAAACTTTGGAATAACTAAGCATTCATAATGGCAAACGCTATAAAAAGCGGATGATTTCCCTACCATTTATGTCATGGAGGCCGAACAGCTGCAAAATGAGCCATCACCGTCCGGAACCCATGGAATGGACTAACCGTCGAGTCTGTTTGGGATGACACCAATCCTTCCAAACCCGACAAATCCTTATCGTTATCGCATAAAGCAGCTGCATGAAACTCAACTCTGTGTCGATGGTTCTATAGCACATTTTATGGTGAATTTCAGACATGTTCGTCAATTGTAGTTTACTTGGCGTTCATGGCCATTGTTTACTTGGCAGCCATTGCTTAAGCAGAATTCTACCGTCCGCAGATCTAAAACATTGCCGCGAAGCGCCCACTGGGCGGCGGCCATCCTTTATCCCAGGCTGTTCCGTTTATTTCCTGCAACACTCGCGTTTCGTGTGTGCCGACCGTAATCATAATCGAGTCTGTGTCTGCCGTCTATTGTTTTATCGCCGGTTCTCGCCCCTAAGTCGCGTGCCATGCCCTTTCTCTGAGACAATGCTGCCGTGCATCGAGCCAGCTCCGTCGCCCGCCAGCTCGCCATCAAATGAGATTGAAAGCTGTTGTTGGTCTCGCCATGTAAGGCAACTGTCGCGACGGACATCACTTTTCACTGGAGTTTGTCCGTAAGAACTCCATAAGGGTTGTAGCCCCCATGAACTCCACTGGCCTGGAGTGCTCCTGCCGGCGCGTTCCACCCCCCGTGCTGTCTGTCTGCCTGGCTGTGGATCCACTCCGCCAGCTGCCCCGACCTTGACGTGACCGGGGGCAGCTGCGACTGGGACCTGATGACGTGGCTGATAGACACACGAATACCTGCACGGATGCTTTCCAATCCGCTCACGGTACACGGTATAATAATGATATGATCACTGGTAGGTAATTAGACTGACGAGCACGATGCGCTCTTCCCTTTATTCGCTCAATTTAGATCGCAATGATCCATTGAATCTTTCATCTTTATACAGACATTCCTGGACAATTTTCATCCATTCAGGTTGCTGACCACGTGTTGCAGGCGTGTATTATCCATATGTTTTAACTTTTACAGCAATGCATTCATGCATATTGCAGCATTCCACAATGATGACTAGCTCGAATTTTCGAGGTCCTTCGACCTGCATAGTAAGCACTACACAACAAAACAAAATCAAACCCACCGAACAAAATCAAACCCACCGAAACTGGGCATTGAAGCAAGCGAGTTCTCTATTCAGAATGTCCGCTGTCACTTACCATTGCCACAGATGCTAAAGAGCACGTATTGTCGTAGATACTGTCACCGTCCCCGTCGCTGTTCCCTCTTCATTTTTGCCGTCTCTGTCGCAGCTACACTGTTTCCACCGCTGACCGTCGCCATATACTGACTGCTGTTACCCCTGTCGCCTCCTGACTGTCGCGTCCCCTGTCCTGTCGCCTGTTGACCGCCCCCGCCCCCATTTTCAGCCCCATCCCTTCAGGTGGTCACCGAGCCCGCGGATGGCGTTAGGATCGTGGAGAGGGATGAGGCCACCAGCCTGTCCTGCTGGGCGCCCGGACAGCCCCGCGCCACAGTTACCTGGACCAAACAGGTGAGGGGTGCTCCCACACCATCCCTGTCGGATGGAAACGTCAAGCCGGGGAGTCAGTCTAGAGCGTCAGCGAGCAGCACAGAGAGTCAGCGAGCCAGGCTAGAGCGTCGACGAGTCCGGCTGACGGAGCCTAGAGGGAGACCTTTCGTTAGATAAACTTCTTTCCCATTAAAATAACGCTCTTTGTTTTACTACATGAATGATGCTATAGCCTGTGTTTGTTTGTTTGTTTGGATGATACACATGTTTTTCTGTCACACGGACATGATCTCATGCCTTATCTTCACATGCGGAACTTGGTGCCGTAGTTTGCAATAGTGAACTCGTGCAAATTTAGACACGATATGTGACCGTCGTATTGTCCAATTATGCACTCTAAGCTCGTTGTTACTGTTGCATCTATTCAGGCTGAATAACTATTTTACTACCACATATGTGACGATATCACTTCTAAATGACGTCTTAGTGGGTACTTGAACAATATCTTAAACGAACTTATGGGCGCGGATGGGCGCGGAAATAGCTAATCTCGGATTAAACGAAGGCACTCGTGTCAGAGTCATTCGCTCATCCGGTCTTTGCTTGCGGTGCACGAATAGAATGAGGTGACCGAACTGGTCGAACGATTAAAAGGTAGCTAGGAGAATGCAACGATTTTGCTTACAGACCAGCAGGGTTGTTTGTTCGCGCTCGACAGTCTTTTACGGGCAAACTCTGAAACCCTATGGAGACGGTGAACCATCTAACGGTGTTCGTATGTGAAATGCGGTCCTTCGAGTCATTATTATCGATCCTTATCGTCAAACAGTTCGCGCTCGCTGTGTCGGCTGCCTACTGAACTATCTTATTTATTTCATTGGTGACTCTTTCACATAGAAGTACGCTAATCGTGGGGAACAAGGCGTGTCACTCACCGGGTTTTCGGTTCCCAGCTTATTTTGACGTTATTACGTCCAAATGGGACTGCAGTGTCCCAGAATGTCATTTCTTCGATGGGATTACGTCATGATAATTCAGCACAAAATTTATCAAAAGGATAAAGGAAGGATTCACATGAGCACGTTTTCCAATGCAAATAATGTGTCATCCAACAGTGCCCTAGCACAAATCTGAAATCGATGGGACTGTCTTTTGAGTCATATTCTATCTCACGAAGCAGGCGTCTTGCTACAAGTTCTATCGATTTAGCGATTTTTTCGTCTGTCCTAGTCAACTTAATATTTTCGTCGTCATGACGTGTATTTAAAGCACATTCTATCAATCTTAACCGCAAATCGCTCAAAGGTAAACTGCCCAGTAAAAATCGTCTGCTCATCTTTCATGCCACAAACGTACTCGCACCATTTAACAGAGTCTACCATCTGCACTCGCTCCAATCGCTTGTAGATCGTTTACCGATGGACAGTAGCGGCGTTTTAGCACGATGAGAACCCGTCGACCCTGAGCGGCAATAAGCTAAAAGGGTCCTCGGGGCGCCGCCGGTGCAGCGGGCCAGCAATGAATGGCGCGCCTCGGCCCTGTTATGGCTGTGTGGTGACATGCGATCCAGGGATGATCCCTGGCTCCGAAGGTCAAGGATCACACCGGAACGGGAAGCCAGACGAGTGGTCTGACAGCATTGGGGAGGAATGTGAATTCCTCACGATGCAATCTGTTTAGCAAGTGTTAGCATCACGTAGTCTCAACAATCGCGTTTTGATGGATTATCTAGTCTAAAGCGTCTTCCAGACATCGACTGTTTCTCCGATTCCATAGCCCGTGTCTGTAACTATACATATGTAGAAGGGCGCACCTGTTTCCCTCGGTACACAACGCCAACTGACAGTCCGTTTCTGCTCCCAGGAGGGCAATCTGCCGTACGGCGAGTCAATGCTGAGAGGACCCCGACTGGACATTGGTAAGGTGATGCCGGCCCATCGTGGAACCTACCGCTGCACTGTGACCACTGCCGACAATAGGACAGAGACCCGCACGTTGCTGCTGCAAGTCAACTGTGAGTAACATGGGTTAGCTGTGGGTGACACGGGTCAATTATGAGCTGTCAACTGTGAGTGACACGAGTCAACCGCGAGGGGCGCAGGTCAACTGTGGGTGACACAGGTTAAAAATGTTGCAAAAACATGACATAGGCAGAGGCGGAGCCTTTCACATTACCACATATCAGAAAATTATCTGTGTCCCTGTTTATCAAATATCAATTCTAAGAAGTCCACTTGGTCTGATACGGTGATCAAGTAGTGCTGGTCAATTTCATGTAACCTGCAATGAGATAAGAATCAGTGTCAGCAGGCCATCGTTGTGAAGCACCGTACCTAAATGGCTCTCCTGTTCACTCAATAATCAAGTGTCCTCCGACTTATCAGTAGATATCTACAGTCACTCATTCACCCGTGTGAACTATGAATGAATGTAAACCCGATTGCTTTTTTACATTTTCACACTTGGAGACCGCGTCTACCAACGCGAATCTCAACGCAAATCCCCATGAGTCAAAATTTCGTGGTCACTCAGTTTACGGGATTGCAACCTATTTAATTATTTATTTATGCAAGATACGAAAATGGAACTCAGAAATAAAATCACTCGGACGCTCCTTTATGCAGTGCAAGTCCTAAAAGAGCCCGTCTGCATAACGTCCGGCGACAGTTGCGTTGACAAAGTCCCTCATGCAGAGTGCCCGAGAGTGCTAAGTCACTCCTGCCTCCCCTCTCTCCCGTCCCCACACCGGGCCGTGGACCGACACCCCCGAATTAATCGTCGCTCTGCGCCGACGCAACCCTCTCTCGGGCGCACGCTACGTCAACAGTTTTTTGTCGGACGTCCTCTGATGTGACAATTTGCGGCTGGAGCCCCCAGCGGTCGACCATTAGGGCGCATGATGAGTCGAAAACGCACATAGGACTTTCTAGAGCTGGTGCGATGTTGGGGCGTTAGGCGAATGATTTGCTATGCTGGCATTAAAGAAAAACTTATCTGCGTCTTACCAGCAACAACACGATACCACGGATTGTACTGTTGATTTACACTGATGTAATAATAATTGCACTGTATTACTTAAGTGCATTGCAATCACCACCCGCCTAATGCTGTGTGTATTGTGCAGTGCGTAGTTGACTGTTTTGCCGCCTTTATGTGCTCAGTTGCTCCGGAAGTGACCGCTCCGGAGCCGGAGGTGCACTCGGGAGAGGACCACCAGGCGGTCCTCAACTGCCGGGTCGAGGCCCACCCGCCGGCAAAGGTAAGCGTATTCACACCAGCCAGAATAGGTGAGTTCTCTTACCTCTTACACGTAACCTCGTTCAGATATCCTACACAAGCAGCTTTTTGGAGATCTGGCACCCATGCACAGAGCCAGTTAGTTTATCATGCAATGCGTTGTTATGAACTACACAAAGTGTAGAAGCGCACTCCTACCGACATCAACGCTTTCTTGATTTTCGCCGTCAATTAACGGTGCATAAGGCCTTGTAAGCACCGACCGACGCATCAACGACAGCACATGAGCCGATCATCCATTTTCGTCATCACCATATACCACACGCAGTCGGCAATACATCTTCCTCGGCCGTCTCCAATACACAGCGCGCCGTGTAACGGTGGATACGCGAATCTCACAAATAGGGTCGATTGGTAATGTATGCGCCGTGCCGTTTCGGGCACCTCTGGACCGCGGGGGCGGCGATCCGTCTCCATTTCGCCGGGTGAGTGTCGGCGGACCGGTCTCAAACTGTCACCACAAACCTGTCATCAATCCGACCACAGGACCGCCGCTGGGAAACGGAATAATCACCGCCTCCTTCGCCGAGGGTGACGGATCGCTGCAGACGCTCCGACACGGTTCTAACATGTTCTGGTACAAGCAGAATGCCTAAATTCAGCGTCAATGGTACACCCAATGGACATATGGGAAGTATACCATCCTAGACCTCATGTGGCTTTGAACGCAGTACCTATAACCAGTGACCTCTCGCCACCGTCCCACCCTGCAGGTTCACTGGAGGCGGACCAGCGGCCGTCCGCTCCGGCCGGGTCACCACCTGCAGACCCAGGAGGACGGCATGTTCAGGCTGACAATGCTGGTCGAGTCCGAAGACCTGGACACGTACGTCTGTGAGGCTGAAAACTCGCTGGGCAGAGCCGAGGCGCCCGTCGTCCTCACAGGTGGGTGGGAGAGAAATCATCAGGTGATCACAGAAAAGTCACGGTGACCTCAGAGACATTCAACGTGACCTCAGAGCTCAGTTGACCTCGGAGGCATTCAGGTGACCTCAGATGCATTTAGCGTGACCTTGCAGACACTCAGTGTAGTCTCGGGTGACCTCAGAGACTCTCAGGTGACCTCAAATGTACCAGGTGGCTCAAGAGGCACACATGGGCCTCAAGTGATGAGGTATAGGGCCAGAACAGCTCCGGACTCGGTAAAAGACATTCAACGTTTTCCTCTACGTCTTCTAAGGAACTCGTTACTTCACACCTTTCGTTTTCTTGAAAACCCGAGCCTCGTGAGCTCCTTCCGCACTTCATTCCAGCCGCAATTTACGATTTTCTTTCCACCGTGCGACTATATGTACCTCCTCCCTGTGGACCACCAAACTCTGGCGGCGTTTGTGATCCCATCGTGCACCGAACCATCAAACCGCAGCCGAGTGGTCTTGGTCTGACCACTGGCCGGAACATTGCACATGGTCTCGCCGACCACTGGCTGCGATTTCACCCTGAACGACGCCGACGCACGCAATTACTTTGTTAGGTGCGTGGGAGCAGCAGGAGCGGGGGGGGGGGGGGGGGGGAACAGGGTGGTATTCTGATTCCGGCAGCGGGCCGGCTGAGGGGAGAGTGGGCCCGGAAATTGCATCCGGTTATGGCGGTGCGTGTGGACTTGGGAGGGGACATTACCTACCCGCGTCCCCCGTGATCATATTCACGTGGTGACAGCTGCATTGCCAGGATCCCGACGATTTAGTGGTCACTGCAATTAGATACGAACATCCGGCCTTCCTATAAGTTTTGTCTACCCATTTCAGAACAAATGAAATGGGAGTTGATAATAGTAATCAGCTGATAAGCCGTTGGTCACATTCCATGACATATAATTCGGCGGATGATGCGACGCATCCGTTCCTCGTTTTGATGGACCGATGCAAACTTTCTCATATAACTTTGTCATTCATAACATGCCTTTGTCTTATGTCCATCCCCAGCAAAGCTCGGTAATGTTAGACCACCTGCTGCTACGCCATTTTACGACGAAGATACCGGTGAACCGACCCGCACCCGTGAATTGACGCCATTTACAACCTTTTCCTCTCCGTTTTGACCCATGTACACCTCAGTGCACGCCTCTCCTTTTTTCGTGCTGATGTCATCCTAGCCCCGAGCCATTGTCCCGCAAATCTCATACCATGCACCGATGGTAATGACATATTTATTGCCGTATGAGGTCATATGAGATTCAACTCGGCTTTATGTTGATTCGATTCATGGTGATACCGTAGTTGATCAGCAGTTTATTGTCCAGACCTTGTTTGTTATGTGCTGTGTTGCATTGCACTTTTGTTTACCCTTATTTGGTCGTGGAGGTGCATTTACGTTCCACAATAAATGGCTAAGCAATTTTTTGCATGGCGTCTTTTTGTATTCGTCCTTTGATTAGTTTCGTGACATCTGCCGATAGTTCATGTTTCGAAGTCGATGCATTGCCAAGGTTTGGTCCGTTTGCTTTACTTTATGGTCATCCACAATACCTAAATGTCGTACCTAAAGTGTTTAGGCTATTCCGGCTGCTGTTTTGTAAACCAGCCTCAGATGCCGTCAATCGTCTGTGGCCGCAGGTCGGCCCGAAGTGACGTCACCCTACTGTGACCGGCAGGTCAGCCCTTACACCCTCTGTGACCGACCCGGTCGAGTCGTGGTGACGTCACGCCTCTGTGACCGGCAGGTCGGCCCGGTCAGCCCGTGGTGACGTCACGCCTCTGTGACCGGCAGGTCGGCCCGGTCGGCCCGCGATGACGTCACGCCTCTGTGACCGGCAGGTCGGCCCGGTCGACCCGTGGTGACCTCTCCAGCCCGCGGCTCCGAGTCTGAGACCTACACACTGCGCTGGTGGGCCCCCAGCTTCCCGCCGCTGATGGCCTACAAACTCATCTACCGACGGCGAATAGTAAGCCGCTGAGTGCAATCGAGCAGGTTATACATCAACGATCATGGGTGATGGGGGTCTGTAAGTTACCCTTACCCGCCTTACCCTTAACCATTTCGACGCTCAACATTACCGAAATGACAAGGAGAAAATCACGATGACGCCACTCGGAACGATATCTGATTCGTTCGTTTGAACGATTGATCTAATTCGTGAAATTCGTTTCACCAGGGAGACCAAACTTGTGCATCACTGTCTCGATTCATTAGATATTTTGGTGCCGTTAGGTGCACAGCTCTTTCGTAGCCACTAACAGAGCCCCAAGTGTTTCTCCGAAACATCCGTATAATTTCCCCATTTCCCAAATCACCGCTGTCGAAGTTCGGCGTGGCCTCTCAGTGACACTTGTCTCGCGGAGCGCTGCGTCACCTGACTCCGTGACTCACCAGCCCTGACTCAGCCCTGACTCAGCTCGACTCTACGAGTGTGCCGCATACCTGGCGTCCTCAGCGACCTCTAAATGACCTGGGCCGCGACTCGGCCGGTCAGTGATACCACTCGGTAAACTCGCAGTGTGCGGGGGAGGAGACAGGCGGATGATGCTACCACCGCTGCCGCTCCTACCTGCTCGGCGCGGCCCGTACAGGTGGACGGTGATGACGCCGAGCGATGACGCCGCGTGATGACGTCGATGACGGTCTCGGGTGACGGATGGCGGAGGTGATGTCGGCAGCAGTCGTACGAGACGGTGGCAGGTTCTGTCCGCTAAGCCGTGATTTAAACCGTGATTTAAACAGCGACTTCGGGTGGGATTTGAATAGCTAATGGAGCGGTGAATGTCAGAGGAGAGGCGGTAACACAGTCCGACAGAGTCGCAGTATCGGCAGCCCCGTCACCCAGCACGGGAAGCGCTGCACCTCTTTGCCTGTCTTTTCACCACCTGCAAAAATCTAGGCCCATAAATCTAAGAACTGCATTAATTGATTAATTGGATTTTGATCCATCACACAATGTAATATGAGTTGGTACCTATTCCTTAGACTTCCATCTTGTTGCTTTGTTGATGATTAATACGCATTCGCTCCATGTCTCCTGACTGCTCGTCGTATAGTCAAAATACCATAATTGACAACCAGTTTCCCAGCTTCACATCACAATGTGCCTTTACAACCGCTGCACAGGCGACAGTCTCCTCCGATTTTGCCGAGCGTCGCGTTAGGCATGCGACAGTCGCCACCTAACCAGCACCTTGCGGCTGGCGGTGTCCCATAAGCCGCGCCGGAAGCGTGAGTGCCGAACATTATCATTAGCTTCCTCCCACAATGCCAATGTCTCTTTCCACGTAGCGGTTTTTACGGCCACCTGGGGTTTTGTCATTCACGGTGGTTCGCGCACCGCCGGCTATGTCTAAAAGTTCGCCGCACTCGTACAGGCACGTCCCAGCCCCGTGGCAACGCCCAAACCGCTGTTTTTATCGGAAGGTAGTTTTTGAGGTCAAAAATGATTCGGAGACAGGAGAAGCTAAGAAGTTACCTATGTAACCTTTGATTGTCTCTTTTTGGAAGATAAAGAATGAAATTTGAACTGTTGATTGATACGCATTTTACACATTTTTCTATATTCCCAGTAAAGTTGCCATTTTATATGGTTTAAAACACATGTGGTTCGACGAGTGGTTCATAAATTGTGTTACTATTAGTGAATGAAGTACTTGTCAAGAGCAACAATGCATGCCAGAATTAGAGCTGACATGTCAACATTCAACTCTGACACAGGTTGTTGTGACTCTTATAGTCTGTATGCGGTTGTTTACTGTTATCAAAGGGCTGCGTTGTTCGGATCACAATAACCCGTGCTGTATGCCGTCGCTATCTACTCCTGCCATTCCCGACCAATGCAGAGCGGAACACCAAGCCACCCTCCCGTGTTGCAGCACCCCACGGTCACGAGTCACGACCTTCCCCTGATGACCTCACTTCAAAGCCGGCCGCTGCGGATGTCCCCCCCCCTGTGCACGATGACGTCACCAGGGGTGGGGTGGGGGTGGGGTTGATCCGTCAGCCCGGTGTCACGGTTGGTGGTCGGTTCCAGCCGTCATCACCGGTCCGGAGAGACAATGGCTGCTAATGATTTACTGCCACCGGTGCCATGTGGACAGGGCGGGGCAACGCCGGCGGTCGGGGGATATGGGACACAGCTGCAATCAAACGGGGAAAAGTGGGCATTGCACTCAAACAGCTGCAATCTAACGGCGGATTGCGGGCTGTGGAGCTGTTTGTTTGCAATGGTATAATAAAACACATCGTCCTCACTTTTCCCCTATTTGCTTTGGAGAGCCTGCCAGCTTAGAGTAACTATTTGTTGATTTTAACGGGACATGAAACATTTGCCGTAATAAGAACTGAGTCAGGGCACAAAAAAGACCTGCTGGGCGCTAACGAGTTAAAATCGCAATACAATTTGGATATAAAAAGCCAGTCATTTAACTATTGAATCAATTGCATGACACCCTACTTTCGCATTCAATCTAACGGTGCCGGTTTCCGTACTCCCACACACACCAGACCGCCACTGCCCCGTACAGTCCAGCCAGCGGTGGCAGCCCGAGTTGGCCAACAGAACGAGTTTGGTGCCGAGTGTATCGGAGATTCCGTTCGCCTCAGTAGGCTATCGGTGGGATCGACGGATCAGCGGTGCCATGTGGCTGCAACTGACTGGACCGTGCTGAATCGCATGCATACGCGAACTTTGGCAACCGGTTCCGTTCGGGGAAAACACGCCCACGCTCCACGAGCCGTGGCGAAATGCTAGTCGGTGTTTGGGGATGATTGATTCGATAAGCGGAGACGTTACGACAGTAGGTAGTAGCATTAGGCTCAAAAGGCTGTGGCTGCCTGCTGTTGAATATTTGTAAAACAGCTCCAGTTGACTGCTTTTGCAACTAAAACTGACCCCTCAGATGCTCAGTAATCCAACGTTGGTGACTACCCCACTCAAGATGCTGCGACTTGATAAGATTTTATAACAGTTATTCATTAAAGTTTAAAGGTCCGCCAAGTTTTATCTAATAAGAGGTATATAACTATTATAGTACCTTTTGTAATCGCTAGGCTGCAAGCATTTTCAAATCATACAAGGTATAAATGGCAAGACAGAGATATCCTTTAGAGGCGAACATAAAGGCCGTCGTCATACAAATGCACGAACAACACGCATAAGTTTCAAGTTGAATGATTCGCTAGCATGTCCCAAAAAATCCCTATAAAATCTAGCAAACGTGATTTTACGCCGGGACGTGATAGGTACTACTGTATAAAATACGGCGGTTATCCTGTATATAGCATCTCCATTTATCTTCATATTCTTGGGTTTATACTTTATGATAGTGTTTTTTTGGCCGGTTGCATTGTGGCAGACAGACAGACAGACAGACAGAGAGATAGACAGAGCGGTACCAGCGTTCGTTTAGTTGCAGCCATGACGCATCACGGACAAGGCATTGAGCAGTGACGTGACAAGCCTGGTCGATAATGACATTATCCCTTTTCATCCATGCATAATGTTTATACCAACGAAAAAAATCGACGCACCACAATACGAACGCAATCTGTTCCCTTTACAGGACATCCCAACTATCCAATCTCTCCTCCTCCCCACGTGCATTGCTGCACGACCTTCATGCCGACCCGCAGCGTCCCTCTCGCCGGCCCCAGCCGGGCCGGTTTGCGCGATCGATAGTGCATTGCAGCACCCCCCCCCCCCTCCCCCCGCCGCAGTGCCGGTCCTGGCGCCGGTCGGTCGCGTCGGCCTCGACGCTGTTAGGGAGAGACTGGGCACCGTCGTCTCTCAGAGGGGGAGGGGGGGGGGTAACGAGACGCAGTGGGCGGTCGTCAGACGGTTTCAGGGACTGAGTGGAGCTAGGTGGCTGGGAGGAGTGTCACAGCAGATTTGGGACATGAGGCTTATATGTAGGTGAAGTGTAGCAATTTGTACATAGGGCTCCCATGGAGTTACCGGTTCAGTCAAACCTGGCTCCCAATATTGTGGGATCCGTGACAGTGGGTGACTGACACTGGCTGACAAGGCCGTTTTCTTTTATCATGTGCACCGTCACAGCGACAATGTTGTTACACCTAGCCATAGTTCATTATTGAACCAAGTTAGCTGTTATGCCCCATGGTAAACAGACCAGTTTGTTGGGATCATCGATGATTGCACGGTGATGTGCACACGTGTATGGCCGAGCGAGAACAATAGGCAGATGGGTTCAGTAATGGATAAATAATCTTATGGCGAATTCAGGGGTGCGCTGACATTTGCAAGAGCCAAACAACCACACCGATTAGTATTTCGCAATCTCTGTTTAAGTCAGATGATACCTCGAAGTCTAAATGAGTTTCGATGTTCGGCTGATATTCTTACTAATCACCTTTGTCAACAGCGCCACGCTTCACGGGGTGCATGAATGCCGAGACATGAATCCACTCCCACGCACCTCGCTGGGACGTAGCAGTTGGTCCCGCAAATCACCGTTTGTCCACAGTGCCGTCATGGCTGTTTGCCGACACTCTGTCACCATATTTACCCGGGAGGACCTTCTGAAACCGGCTGTGCGTTCGGTCGGCCCAGAGAAAAGGCCACTCGGGTCCGGCTGTTTGCCGTGTGACGGACAGAAGCTGCGCTGGGGTTCCGGTGGAGGAGTTTCTTCATACAGAGGAGGCGGGGCGCACCTAAAAAAGCCCCAGGTGGTGCAGCGGTCTGTCTAACGGCGCAGCTTCAAAGCCAGGCATGCATACGAATAGCATCGGATGTGGCAAGAGGCACATGGCCACTGTTATTGTAGGGCGTGTAAATCCATTCACATCTTAACCATTTCTATCCCGTTCCTATTCAGCTTTTGTCTCACGGATTCTGAGACAAGATTCCTGCCGTCTGGCGTCTCTAATGACATGCAACCCAACAACACAGTCGTCACTTTTTACCATCGCTGCGACCAGTACCCCACACTGCATAGCGCTCACCCTTCCCACACCTCACCAGAGGGACGGACCTACAGTAGGGCCACTGTTCTCATCCCATGATTTACATCGCGGCACTTTACATCCTCCCCAGACGGACGCCAACCGGCCGGTGGGGTACTGGCGGACCGCCTGGCTGGAGACGGTCATCCCCCTGGACGAGGAGGAGGAGGACAGCTACGAGGACAAGAACGCCGCCGAGGACGAGCTGGATGACGCCGCCGATGACGGCTACAACAGTCATCAGTACGTCATCCGCAAGCTGAAGCCTCAGTCGGAGTACGAGGTGAATGTGCTGGCGCAGAACAAGCACGGATGGAGTAAACCGAGCGAAAAGTTCGTGTTCCGGACGGCACCAGGTTCAGGTGAGAGCAGGGAGGGAGATGGAGGAGGGAGAGAGAGAGGGGGGGGGGGAAGGGGGTTGAGAAAGGGAGAATTAGGTATACAGTTAATAATTATTTGAATAAACACAGTTTCCATGCTAGTAATTGTAACGATGACTTTTGTTTTCGCAGGAAAGGACCCTGTTCGTCAGACCCAGCATAACACTGGTGAGTTCTTTTTGCATAAAATATGCTACCATACATGACAATCAACAATGATTTGTACCTGCATAGAAGACAATGGTGAATGGTGTGTTAAGGCCCTCGTCCAGGTCCTCAGCAGACAGAGCCAAACCATGTCCACGCACTGCTCAGAAGTATACGCAAACCCACGCAGTTGCGCTGCACGGTTGCACGGTGCCACGTCTCAGCGTGACAGGACTGATGGACCATCAGTGCGATGACACAGGGGCTGTGGCCACCTGTTCACCATTTGTCAACAGTCTGACACCAGTGTTCACAGTCCGGAAAGACCTTCACTTCGCGCGTGTGAAAAATGCTCGTCACGGAAACTGCATATGTAAATGAGTTGCAAAGCCCACTTCGACGCACAGGTAACGCCTATAGCCAAGAGGGGCGTCGTTCCCAAAGACAAACTTCGAAATGGACGATTCCTGTAACGATATTTCATTTTAAAATTTAACTGCATACTTTTTGTTACTGTCTGATGACAATCTGTTCATGGGGATAACCTTCATATAATTTAAGTGCATGCCGTGTGGTGTTCTGGCTGTAACTGCTCGTACTTCTTTTGTCGTTCATGGCACGTTATGGCAGTCATGGCATCATAAAACTTGTGAACAGCGGAAGGGCCATCGTATAAACGAATTACACGTCGTGTTGTATCAAACTACCGTAGAAATTACGTGTAACGGAGATACTTACACAACATTCAGTGGGCCCTAATTGAGAAATAACAATTCACTTACAGTGCCCGTCATTGTTTACAAACTGTAACTCGTGTCTCGTTGGATGATTTGTATTATCATTATTTCGCAACCCGCCAGCGCCGTGTTACTCCACAGCGGCGTGGTTGGAATGGGGCCGTGCAAGCTGCAGCAATATAGACGCTGCTGCTGAGTTACGGACGTCGGGAACTAAAAGTTTAGAATCGGAAATTACCTATATAATTTGATCGTTTCTGCGCTTCTAAGATAATTTTCACTATTGCCTTCCTGAAGTGCGTTGCGGCACAGCCTGCCTTCCTGTAGTGCATTGCGGCACAGCCTACCTACCAGCAGTGACAATGTATTGCGGCACAGCCTACCTACCTGCAGTACCATCGATAAAAGCCATGGTGACAATGAAAGCCGAACACCGAGCAAATATGGGCAAATGAGCAAAGCAAAGGGTGCGCATCGCAGCTATTCCCCATATACAAGCGCTCATCATAGTGCTAATAAAGCATTCAATGGCAGGCTAATGAAAAAGTCATGGGCGGCGGCCGTCACGTCATATTACCATTAGATCCCGTCATTATCGGCTCTCGGGTACCACAACGCATAATTAATCCAGTCAGAAATGCATCAAACTAGAACAGTTGTCTTAGCCTAAGCACTAGGCACAATATGGTGCATGGCATATTATGAAGCATAGTTATTCGTTCACTGGAAAGCAAATAATCCAATTCAAGAAGAATATCAAACAGAGTAATTAGTGCTGATTTGACAATTCCATCACTCTTTTTTCGTTGTTCTGTCAGATTTACGATTTGACTCGGCTTATTTGATTACGAGCTACTCTGAAACTCAGAATTTACTGCAGTCACTGGTCTCAATAAATCTCAAACAAAGCATCGTCGAGCCCGCCAAACTCTGTATTGATCTTCCAAGAAACGCACAAGGCGTAGGACAGCGCTCGGTCCTCGGGCTGCCCAAACGATGGGGACCGAGGCCACTTTTCGAGCTGTATTCGTTTCCATTAAAAAACCGTCTCGATCCTACGAAATAGATAACCTTTTTCAGCGGTAGTCAGCAGAAACAACAATACGTAAAAATTACACAGTAATAAGCTGATTTGAAAAAAAAACTTTATAACCGTCGCCGTGTCTATCGTTTGACCACCTTCCTATCCGCCTCCCATCCAGCTGACACCCTCGGCGGCGGTAATCCGGCGGCGCGCGCGCGTGCCGGCCCGGCCACCCTGCTGCTGGGACTCGCCGCCGGCCTGCTGCTGCGACCGTGATGCCGCTGGCCACCAGCTGAGTGGGCGCTTAGGTAAGTGGGGCAGCGCGCGGTTTTTGCCGCGAGATTGTGTTTGGGAGCGGCCGCAGCAGGTGGGGTTTTGATCGCGCGTGTGACGGGTATGGTGGGTGGGAGGGTAGGAGGGGTCCTGCCACCGAGCCGCCGCGGTCTGCTTCCTCACCATGGAGGGTCGGTGAGTGCGTTGGTCAGACACATAATTTGGCGCCATTCAGAGCGCTGATCGATCGCGGTACCTGGAATTGGCGGGAAATATGTCAGGAACTAGCGTCAGACATTAGCTGTGGTTCCTAGATCGCGTGCCTGTGATATTCGCGAAGTGATCTGGACACCGGGCTGGGACGGGCAAAGGTGCGGTCTACATAGTGAGAGATTCAGTGGGATAAAGGTAATTTGTGTCCAAGTGCGTTGAACTGGTAAAAAAATGAGCATCGTTGAAGTGTTTATGTAAAGTGGCTCACAAGCAATGTCTTCAACGTGTTACTTGACATCCTGAAATGATGTGTCCTGACATTGTGGACAGGTCACCGATTTTGTTCTTCTAAAATAGATATTTTATATTTTTCCAATTTCGATACCTCTTTGTCCTATTTAAATTTATTGTGCCGTCCTATATGTCATTTCCAGCCTCACCCAATGCCACCACCGTTCTCCAGCTCCGCGACCCATTTGACTCACGTTTCCAGTCGTCACGTCCGGCCCCGTGCCGGGTGGTGTCACACAGCGTCACGTGACCCTGTCACCCCGCTGTCACCTCTGTTTGTCACAGATCGCCGTCACACCCAGCCACCACTGTGTGTTCTGCGGTCAGACAGCGTCGACTGATCGCTGACCGCCGCCGGTGGCGTCTGGTTCCGTCTACCAACCACTGGTCGGTCATCACGGGCTGGCCAGAAGCCTGGAGGTCTTCAGACCCGGCCGAACCGGAAGCCAGCAGGAGCTCTGACGGATCAGTGGAGGCTGGTCGGACAGTCAGCAGCCGCAGAGACGTCAGCAGTGATGGACCGGAAGGGGATGTGCTGTGGGTGACAGAAAGCTGTGTGTGAGGACGTGACGGGACTTTGTTAAACCGACAGGCGAGGGAGTGGTATGCGTGATGGAGCTTAGTTCAAACACTTAAATTGAAATGTGATCAGGATTGAATGAAGCGCCCTTATGACATCCATTCGAACGTCGACGTCGCGAAAGACTGCCGCTAGATCCTGCTTATTTATTGCTACGAACTTTCTCTGTATACTCTCTAATAACTGCGTCGCTTCAGCAGCAATAGCCAATGGGTATAAGCATTCGACCGTCATAGGTCCTTGAATCAAACGTTGACTCAGCCTGCGAACTATTTCGGACGGTCGATCGGGCCTGAAATGTCGTTTGACGCGGTGTTCCGCGGCTTATTTGTGCAGCGCGGCCGTTGTGAAACACATGGATGTGCTTATCTTTGAGTGTGAGCTTTGCGAGGCTTCCAAGAAGTAGGCTTTCATCGGGTGAGATGTTTCGGCAGCCCATGGCTTATGTTGTGTGGTGATGACATAAAGAAGTAACTAGGTGGCATTGCTGAGGGATGTAAAAGCACACAAAGTGCGTGCCTGATCGGCTTAAATCAATAAGCTGATGGTCTCAGACGTCAGAAGCACACATTGCTGGGACTCTGAAATGCTCGAGCTTACATACATGACTGCCAACATATGATGTTTGAGTTTAGAGCTGTATGGGAAGGCATCGAAACTCTCAGCTCTTAGCTGACCATAACCCCACTGCACCGCGACACGTGAAGTACCCTGTAGTCTTACCATGGAACTGCAGTTATAGAACGTATGTGCTAAGATGGGAACGGTGAAACGCCAAGCGGGTGCATCACTAAAATCACTAGGTTAGCGTAATTATTGTACGGCAGCGTAATGACATTAACAAGGTTTAACGGTCGTTTTGATCCCCACATCGGGTAATTATATTGCAGGTGGCCACAACATTGCTCCAGTTAGCAGTACAATGTAATCACTCAGTTGCATCATCATATCACGAGGGATAAATAAAAAATGGCGACAGCCGACCCTTTTAACTGTGGTCCTAAATTGAGGTCTGTCGCTGTTCCTGTGCAGTTGGTCCTCAGTGTACCGTTGCACGCCAACCACAAAACGAGGGCAGATTGTAACAGGGAGGAAAGTGGGGACCCCAATGAGTGGTAGAGTGAGCGAGTGAGACGGTTTTGCTAGTAATGACGCCGTCTCCAGCGTATGCAAGCATCCATTCGATGTACCTTTTCTTTAAAAACGGTAAATGATCTCTGAGATAATCCATAAGCCTCTTAGCTGTTTTACAGTTACGCATACCAGCACGTGCCAAAGCACGGAGATGTGATTTAGTGATGGTATCTGCGTGATGCGTCACTTGGCTGACCACTTAACAGAGGACAGTAAATCGGTAATGGACTTTTATAGCCGTAGTCATGTGACCTTCGTGGCAAATGAGTACCGCCATGGACATTTAACAGCCATTGTATTCAGCCCATAGAATCGCACCCGAGATATAATCTTCGTGTCATCTTCACAGCTCTCCGAATTCAGCCCCAAACCTTTAGTGAGAAGCTCACCATAAGGATACGTAAAAGGTGGGCTTTACACATCTTTTCTTTCAAGGCCAGATTGTGGCGTATAGATCAAATTTCAGTCACATTATCGTCGCTCGTAATCCAACCGTTTAAGACTTGCTTAAGGCAGCTGCAAGTGTTTAGCTGCTGGTTTGGTGACTAAGCACTTTACGACAGCCATGTATAGAGAATCAGATAGTCCATCTGCATGCTGCATAGGTAGTTCACATTTGGACCGGTTGTTAATCTCTCTCAGTTACAGACATTATATATATAATTACACCTCTTCAAACGGTAAATACAACGCTCCTTTAGACATCCCACGCGATAGCAATGCATTTGCACGGTCTTCTTAGTACCTACATATTAAACACGTCTTAAATGCCTGTATCTTAGCACTGTGTCCCAGTCCCATCTAAGGCACAGGACCAGCCCTAGCCTTGGAGCGGTGTCTCACCGAGCGGGACATCAGCGCAATCAGAGCCGACTGGAGACGGTCCCAGGTGCGGACAGACCCGCGATGAAAGGGTCTGAGCGCTGCCGCTTTGTTATGCCAATGGGCTGTCACCGGCTCAAAGGGAGTGGAGAGGAGATCAAACACCAGTTAGGGTGCGGAGGTGAGCAGCTCAGAGCGGGCCAGGTCCGTCTGTTTCTGGACCGTGGGAGGTATAAGACGAAAAAAACGAGATCGACGCGACTGGTGCGAAGAAAACGTTTACCAATGACGTATGCTACGATAACGTAACTTGAAATACAGCCTCTCACGATGAGTTAAAATGCAGATAGCTAATGATTGTACCATACAATACATCGCAATACATTACCATACACATCAACGGTCGTAGAGTGTAGATACTAAAAAAGGCAAAACGTTCACCACGTAGCCAGATCTTGAGCGTTTTACATGACCAGGGAACTGACATTCAAGCGTCATACCGCAGGACAGCTGACTCGTTAATGTCCAGCACTTGCATACTTAAAGCATAGAAAGTGTGAGTGATTCGCATACCGCCGGCCACTTACAGCCACCTTAAATTTGCCAACCTGTCAAACTGTCACTTCTTATCTAGTATCTACGCAGAACAAGACCGTCAAGGATGCCAGTGGAAGAAGTGACAGAGGACACTGGCAGCATGAGCTGTTCCAGGACGCGCTTTAGTGCGGTTGTCAGACTGACAAGATATGAAACCGACACACACTCCGCTGGTCGCTCTCCCGGTCCTGACTCAACTTCTGTCGTCCGTCGCTGGCACCGTGTGCCGTGTGGCTACCGAGTACCAATGGTACCACAGTTCCTGGGAGGGGGCACTGCAGAAGGACTGACGGTGAGCTGACAGCAGCGGCCAGTGCACATAACGGATCGACGGAGACCGGGGCCATCCATCAGTGGCCATCGGCCGCCGCGTCTGCTTCTTTCCAAACAGATCACCGAACGCTGAGCCATTGTTCGCTCATCTGAGTCGGTCTCTCTCTCTCTCTCCCTCTCTGTCTCTGTCTCTTTCTGTCTCTCTCTCTCACACACCCTCCCCCCTCCCTCCCTCTCTCTCTGTCTGTCTCTCTCTCTCTCTCTCTCTCTCTCTCTCTCTCTCTCTCTCTCTCTCTCTCTCTCTCTCTCTCTCTCTCTCTCTCTCTCTCTCTCTCTCTCTCTCTCACCCTCCCTCCCTCCCTCCCTCTCTCTGTCTCTGTCTCTCTCTGTCTCTCTCTCACACCCACCCCTCCCTCCCTCCCTCCCCTCTCCCTCTCTCTCTCTGTCTCTCTGTCTCTCTCTCTCTCTCTCTCTCTCTCTCTCTCTCTCTCTCTCTGTCTCTCTCTCTCACCCTCCCTCCCTCCCCCTCTCTCTCTCTCTCTCTCTCTTTCTCTCTCTCCACTACGCAATCACAATCATACGCCCCCTCACGCGCTGTAATACTGATAGGCCACCGTCACGGTCATCATTTCAATCAAAAGCCGCTCTTTGCACGTAGGCACCTCCTCACACATATAGGGGTGGCTCGATTCAGCGCCGTGCACTGCACTCGCCACGCACTGCAGCGCACAATGGGTCTGCCCTCCTCGTGACCGCCAGGCCAGGCCGCCGCGCCCCTTGCAACCTTCTGCGCACAGTCGTGAGCCGAAACAGGGGAGGGGAGGTCGAAAGGGAGGGAGGGAGGTGCAGGAAGAGACGGGAAAAACGTGCGTGTCATTGCAGGCAGGTCTGATGGTCACTGGACTGGGTGAGGTGTGCCAGTGAGCACTCGGTTACTGAAGAAGCCACCGGCTATGCGTTCGATTGTGCGTGCAGTACTGATGAGTGCCGCTCCCAGCCCAAACAGGAGGGCGAGTGCGAAGGAGTGGCCTGGGGCAGGTGAATGAGTGTGTGTATGAGGAATAAGTGAGATCGATGAGAGAATGTGGATAGCTGATTACCTCCTTTGAGTGGCGATATTAGCACGTTTGCAATAGAAACATTGTAAATTAGCCCTGCAGCAGCGAGGCCCAGGAGGATTGTGAATGGTGTAAAGTGAATGGTGTAATGGTGTTTTGTGAATGTCATACATCTTCAACCACTGTTGAAAATGTATGACATCCGTTTGCTTGTTTTGATCACACTTGAAGCGGACGTCGAACATCACACACCTTGTTATCGTGCTGTAAAAACGCCGTCAATCCTCTGTTAAACGCGGCGCATTTGTAAACGCTCCGACTACAGCTTTCATAAGGCCCTGCACAGCACAAAGCAAACAACATTTGTTCGCCCGCCTACCGGCACCGCGCTGACCTCGGCCCCGTGTCACCTCCGACCCTCGGTGACCCGCTCCGCCCCCTCTCTCTCCTCTCTCCTCTCCAGTACAGGTCACATCTCCCCACGACACCTCTCCCCTCCCCCTCCACCGGCACAGACTCTCCATTCTTACACAACCTGTTGCTTACTCTGCGATGGACGTAAGCAACGGTGTTACTGCAGCCGAACAAGCTACAGCAACTGAGCTGGCGTCCGCAAAGGGCCAACCGAACCAGGCTCATAAAAACCCCAGCCATAGCAGACGGACAACTGAGCCAGCCTCAGCAAAATGACAGCTGAAGCAAGCACAGAAAAAACTCCGGCATATCAGAAGGATAACTCGGCCATTGAGCTAGCCACAGTGTGCCAGCAGCAGTGCTGAGCTGTTGAGATGCTCCATTGCTGGCTGCTAAGCTACTCAGGTATGAGCCAATGCAACACAGAGCTGCAGGCCGGCACTCAGGTCTGTCTCTGAGCGCGGCGATGGAGCCGGTCGTGCCTGCTCGTAATTGGGCCACGACTTGCATCTCGTCCAGCCCGCCGCTCCATTATTAGCCAGTGATGGATGACCTTTGTAGGTGGTATAACTGATCGGGTACAGTACCGGCTGCAGTCTATGAGAAGCTGGGGATGTGATGGTGATTAATTCTGCCCATGCACCTTGAGGTCAACGTCTCAAGGCCGAACGATTGGCATCACATTTGTCTGGAGCGGAACCGTGCTCGATATCCATTCGATAGACGTTACACTGCTCTTCTTATATTGTGAAGATGCCTTCTCATTCTCACCGTTCTAACTCGTTTAGTTCTTGAGCTGGCGTCAAGGGATCGAACCCTTCAGATCAGTTCGGACGGGAGCAATATCTCGATCTGACAATGAACAATGAACAATAGCCCCAAGTGTGGCTGACGTCGGGTGAATGGCCGCGTCAAATCCTGATCGTCTCTTTAGTGATGGTCATGCTGCCGTGACGGGGGATCACGAAGGTCGGGTCTATAGAGCTGCCGCTCGAGGCACGGTGGGCTACCTGCTTCCCGAGCCGCGAGGTGATGCCGATTGAAAGGGATCAGGGACGGACACTGGATGCAGCGTGGGCGAGGGTACTGGCTCGGTAAAACTGGGGTGCTATGCGAATAACTAGCTTACAGTGCTGGTGGACACCCGATCTGCCCCGAATTTACTCTCACTGCGCGCTAATGAGAATCTGTGTGATATTTACCCCCCGGCCGGCGTGGCTTTCACCGCTGTTTGAATCGGTAACCAGATCAGGCGGCGCTCACGCATGTGCGAGCTCGTAATAAGATGGGTCTCGCGGCTGAGTATAAATTTCCATAATTACTG